TCACAGCACCTGTCGCCGGGGACTGAGAGCTCGCAGGGGTGCAGGGACGCGCTAGGGAACGCTAAGACTGAGCGTCACCTCCCAGTCAAACCCCTCCTAGCTCGGGCCGCAACCAGGCTCCGCCCACCCAGGGCCACCAGACTGGGACCTGCTTCCTCACACCTGGCCAGACTGGCAGGCTGGCCTCTTGAGGAAGCCCAGGCCTCCAGGGACGTGGCGGCTCCGGGACTCAGCCAGCCAGGCGGATGGGGGAGGAAGGCTGGACCTGTGATCCAGCCGGACCTTAGACCCGGGATCGATGAGAGGCCGCTTGGACAGTGGACAGTCCTTACCCCCTCCGCTGCAGCCGCCACCAAAGCCGGCTGCTGTTTCCTGCCCCTCCTGTCGGGAACAATTTGAGGAACCAACTTAATCTCTGGGCTGAGAGAATGAGACGCTTCCAGGCGCTCTCCACAACTCTGGCGCGGACTAGCTGGAGCACGGAGCGGAAGATGGAAGGTGGGGAGCCGGTCAGGGTCCCTGGTCAAGATGTATCATTGTGACCATCCTCTTTAGAGTTGGAGAGGAAAAGAAAACTTGTTTCAAACAGGCATGAAAGGGACTCTCTGCAAAGTAGTGTTTATGACAAGCTGGCTGTGCTTTCCGGGGGGTAAGGGAAGAGGGGTGGGCATCTCCTTGAGTGGCAGCGGTGTGCCCGTCGGGTGAATGCTGAGCTGAAGCCTGGGTGCTGTGTGATTAGCATGAAGTTATTGGTTCTGCCTTGCTGGGCCTTAGTAGTGCCGCCCGCGTTTCGAAACAAAGCAAGGGTGTTGGACCACTGGCCAAAAAGATCTCCGTCGCTGTACCTGTCCCCTCTTGTTTCGTGAAGAGTGACAATAGACATTTTTACATGAACCCACCAAGTAGGGAGGAAATAATCCGGTCAAAATACAATTTTGAATTCAAAGTGAAGGCATAACAGGTTTAAAAAGCAGTCAGGTCTTTTCTACCGGGAGAGCTGAAAAGAAAGTACAAATGGCAAACTAGTAGAAGTTTAAGCCTGGACCCTCCCTGGGAAGAACTCTAGGGATACCCAGAGTCTCAAAGACAGGCCAACAATTCTAGCGCGGTGGCTCATACCTGTAATCCCAGCACTGGGGGACCTGAGACCGGAGGATAGCTACAAATTCAAAGCTAGCTTAAAGCTACAGAGTGGGACCCTGTCTCAAACAAGAGTCTGGGCTACATAGTGAGCTCAGTAAGAGCCTGCATACAGAGAGCCTATCTCAAAATAGATAGTTAGAGATCATCCTGGGCTCCTACCTAAAGGGTTTGAAGCCAGGCTGGGCTACAGAGTGAGACCAGTCTCCCCTTATACCCCAATTAAAACAAAAAACAAAAAACAAGAAATTGAAGTTTTCTCTTCTTTCTTTCTTTCTTTCTTTCTTTCTTTCTTTTGAGACAAGATTTCTCTGTGTAGCCCAGGCTGGCCTCAAAATCAGAGATCCACCTGCCTCTGCCTCCTGAGTACTGGGGTTAAAGGCACATGCCACCATTGTCTGGACTTTTATTTTTTCAATGATTTATTTATTTTATTACATATGCATTGGTGTTTTGCCTGAATGTATGTCTGTATGAGGGTGTCTGATCCCCAGGAAGTGGAGTTGCAGACAGTTGTGAGCTGCTATGTGGGTGATGGGAATTGAACCTGGGTCCTCTGGAAGAGCAGCCAGTGCTCTTAACCACTGAGCCATCTCTCCAGCTCCTGAAACTCAAGCTCTTTTTTTTTTTCTTTCTTTCCCTTTTTTGGTTTTTTGAGACAGGTTTTCTCTGTGTAGCCATGGCTGTACTGAAACTCACTCTGTAGACCAGACTGGCCTCAGACTCACAGAGATCAGCCTGCTTCTGCCTCCTGAGAACAGGGACTAAAGGCGTGCGTCACCAACGTCCGGCCTGAAACTTGAGTTCTTGAACCCCACTGTAGACCAAACCACTGAGGACAGAGCCAAGAAGCTGTATGGCAATGAGCCTTCCAAAAACACTTGTTCAGAGAAACTGCTAATGCCACCAGGGAATGAGAGACATGCTATCTAGAGGAGTCTAAGCTAACATGTGCAGCACATAGCCAACACAGGAAGCCTTGACAATTTTATTCCCCTAACACCAAGGGCACTCCTTTTCTGAGATGCTTGGAGCCAGATGGCCATTAGAATTCTGGCTTTTCTTTAACTTAGGAAAGTAAAATAAGTGCTGGAGAGATGGTTCAGTCACTGAAAGCCAGTACTGCTCCTACAGAGGACCAGAGTTGGGTTCCCAGCACCCATGTCAAGCAACCCATAACCTGTAACTCCAGCTACAGGGGATCCAATGTCCTCTTCTGGGTTCCTTGGGCACCTGCTTTGATGGTGCTGGGGATGGTGGCGCACACCTTTAATCCCAGCCGTCAGGAGGCAGAGACAGGAAGATCTCTGAGTTGGAGGCCAGCCTGATCTACAAGAGTGAGTTCTAGGACAGCCAAGGCTACACTTTTTTTTCAATTTTTTTCTGTCTCAGAAAAAAATCTTAAAATAGTAAAATAAATACATATGCCATTTCTTTTTGTGTGCACATGTATATGGGGTGTGTGCGTGTATGTGAGTGTGGGAGTGAGTACTTGTGTATGAAGCTAGAATAGGACATTCAGTATTGTGGTATCATTCCCCATTATTCCCTTGAGATAGCGTCTCCCACTGATCCTGGAGCTAGGCTGGCATCCAGCAAACCCCAGGAATCCCCCAGTATCTACCTCTGACAGCACTAGAGTTAGAGACAAGTTTGTGGCCAGACCCAGCTTTTTATATGAGTACTGGGGATTTGAACTCAGGTCCTCAGGCTTATGTGGCAAGTTCTCTTCTCTACCAACCATCTTCCCAGGCCCAGTAAATGCACATATACAGCATAAAGCACAAATACCCTGAGCTAGGTCCAAATCAATTATACTACTTTTCTGTAGTGGAAAAGTGTGTGTGTGTGTGTGTGTGTGTGTGTGTGTGTGTGTGTGTGTGTGTGTGTGTGTGTGTGTTTGGGCTATCTATTACATTGTAACAAATATTCCAAATATCACCAGCTTAAAAATCACCATTCTATTGCTCAGGGAACTGTCAGCCATGAATTGCAGCTAGGCTTGACATGCAGGAGCTTCAGTTCCATTGTGGGTTTGGAAGTGTGCTCTCAGCTGGGAACTGGCTGGGATAGGTAGACACCAAAAAGTATCCCTCCCATACCCATGGCAGCATTCTCACTTGGCTTGTATGTGAGACTCTTACAGCTGAGGGGTAAAGCAGTATGCCAGTTATTTTTCTTGTTGCTTAAACAAAGTCTCTGACAAAAGAATGGGAAGAACTCACTGGCTCAGAGTTGGAGAAGAGATACAGTCACCGTGACAGGAGAGATATGGTAGCCGGAAAGTGAGGCAGCTGGCTACATGGTATCCACAGGCAGGAAGCAAGAGAGACAAGTGTCTCCTAGGTGATTCTAAATCCAGTAAAATAACCTGAAGCTAAACTATCACAAGCAGGAACCTCAGGCCCAGACCCTCAGGATACACACCATCTTCAAAACAAAGCACACAGACAACATGTCTGCTAGCAAAGGCCAGCCCGGATTCCAACAGGAAAAACCAAGGCCACCTTTGTGTGGAAGAAGTTACAGAGTTACAGCCATCTCCTGTATTGATGAGATAAATAAAGGTGGTGATCGATAGCTTCAATCAGTTTCAATTAGATTTCTTGCCAACTACCTTTTCTGCAAATTTAAGAAACTCTGTCCCTGAGGACTTTGTGTCAAACAGAACTTAGAGCTGAGATCAGAATGGACACAAAACTGAAGAAGAGCCGGCGTTGGTGGCGCATGCCTTTAATCCCAGCACTTGGGAGGCAGAGGCAGGCGGATCTCTGAGAGTTTGAGGCCAGCCTGGTCTCCAGACCGAGTGTCAGGATAGGCTCCAAAGCTACACAGAGAAACCCTGTCTCGAAAAAGCAAAAAAAAAAAACAAAAACAAAAACAAAAAAAACAAATCAAAACAAACAAACAAACAAACAACAACAACAACACACACACACACACACACACACACACACACACTGAAGAAGAAATCAGAAAGATGGCAGGGACACCATGGAAGTCAGCCAGGTGGCTTGCTGGGTTAACCCACCAAGGCTGGGACCCACCCAGTGGAAGGAGAGAACTGACCCCTGTGAGTAGTCCTCTGACCTTTAAACACATGCTGTGAGACAGCCCTACCCCAAATAGGAAATCAAAGTTAAAACATCCAAGTGTGGGGATTCACATCTTTAATACCATGCAGGAAACAGAGACAGGCAGATTGAGAAGCGTCCCAGGCTAGCCTGGTCTACATAGCTACATAGTGAGTTCCAGGCCAGCCACAACTACACAGTGAGTCCCTGCCTAAAACAAAAGAATTATTGCATGTCTTTAATCCAAGTACTTGAGAGGCAGAGGCAGGCAGATCTCTGAGTTCACGGCCAGCCTGGTCTACAGAGTGAGTTTCAGGACAGGTTCCAAAGGTACACTTGTCTCCAAAGGTTCTCTTGTCTCAAAAACAAGAGAAAAGAAAAGAAATTTTAACTTCATCTGGGGCTGAAGGGATAGCTCTGTGTTTAAAATTAGAGATTGCTGTTCTTGCAAAGAACTCTCATGTTTGGCTCCCACTATCCATGTCAGATGGCCAGTAACTCCAGATCTAGGGGATCTGATGCCTCTGGCCTCCAAGGCTCCAACACTCACACAATGCCCCCCCTCCACATATGCATAACTAAAAATCAAAATAAATTTTAGGAATTTAAAACTTTAAATAAAGATATTTAAAACAAAGATGAGCTTTCATACTAGCCTCCAGATAGGTTACATCCTAATTGGCACAAGGGTCAGGGTGAACTGATCAAGAACAGCAAAGTGCCAAGAGATCCCAAGGCATTTGTTCGCTTTGGATGACAGTGGTGGACTAGCTGCAAGGCTATATTATCCAATAAACAAATAAGACACCCTTCTCATGGGTTCAGAGTGCCTAGAAGTCAACAGTAATTTAAATAATTTAGTGGACATTTTGTGATTCCTGCCTGCTACCTACGAAAAGACCATAGCACAGTCTTTTAAAAATAAGGTTGCCTTCATAGGTTTACCTGTCATTTATTTCTTCTAATTATTTCATTCCTTTTAAGTATGACTATTCCAGGAAAGAATCATTGATGGATGTTAGGATTAGTGGGTGCAAGTAGGATGAGAAAAAGACCATTTACAATATCTCAAAAACTCTCCCCAGAAAATGCCATTCGACCCCTTGAATTCCAAGACTTTGCAGGAGAGAAGCCCGTGAAACTCTGATGTGATGCACTGAGCAGAAT